GGGTGAGAAGGGGCGTCTAGTGGAGGGGTGAGCCTCAGCATCAGGGCAGCTTGTCACGTGTTGGGGGGGTTGGGGGAGTCAGGTTGTGGACATGCTGAGAGCAGGGGTACCCGGGGCAGACACTAGCGGAAGTTTCCTGCTTGTTTCAATTTTCTGAGCGCACCAGGATGTGAGGGGGATCTGGCTGCGACATCTGTCGCCCCACTGATCGCAAGGGTTGATTCGGCTGATCTGGCTCGCTGGGTGGGTGTCCCCTTCCTCCCTCACAGCTCCCTGTGCATCCCTCCCGAAGCTGCTGCTCGCTCCGTCAAAGAGGACAGCCTTCCCCGAATGGAGACGGACTGGTCTTCAGTCTTCCGTCGAGGGTATACAAGTAGCTGCGCTCCCCTGCTAGAACCTCCAAAGAAGCTCTCGATTTTCTGAGAGCACTGACTGAGAGGAAGGATGAGAAAAGGAGTTTGGCAGAGAAATGGACGGTCTGAGACCCTGGCGGTCACTCAGATGACACTGTCTTTCTGATTTTATTCATCTTTTTCTTTCATTTCCCCCTAGTAGCTGATAGCCAGCATAGTTCCAGTGTGCATCAGATGCTTCATAAATATTTAAGTTCCGTTTTAGAACTGGAATGATAACCACCCCTATCCCGACTGCAGACAACCCTCTGTTTAACCAACGGTTCTAAGTACTTTACCCACGTAATCCTCACCACAGCTTCTGAATGGGGCCAAGGGATGGGTCAGTGGTTATTAGTACATTCTCACTAAAGACCATGAGCCAGAGGTTTTTAAAGCTACATAACCTGCCTGAGGTTGGCCAGCCAGAAGAGGGTAGTGCAGAGGATCTCAACCTCCCTGACTCTCAAGTCCACCTTGTAACCACTGCCCGAGGGTTCATCTTGACCTCCCTTTTCATCTTTGTGAGAAGAGCACTGAGCTCCACATTGCTTATCTCTTATGTCAGAGCCTCTTCTGGAACCAAGTCCTCGCCTGGTTTACTGCTTTTCTCTACTGCTATTTCCAAGAGCAGCTCCCATTAACACCTGGTAGGTGACAAAAGTAATTGGTCCTTAAATGAGGGACTTCTGCCTGCAGTGATATGACTGTCCAGGAGAGGGCAGGCGTGTACCTAGAAGCACGCCTGCCCCACCCACAGACTGTCCTGCTTGTCTCTCAGCTTGTATTGTGGAACCAGAGCACCTGATTATTCAGAGAATGATGGCTTACAGGAGTGGCTCTCAAGCAGCAGTTTGGTGCCCCAGCTAGCATTTGACAGTGTCTGGAAACATTTGGGGATGTCATACGTGGAGGAGAGTCAGAAGGGTGGAAGTTACTGGTATCTAGCAAATAGAGGCCTGGAATGCTGCTCAACACCCTACACAGACAGGACCCATCCCCCAACAAAGAATCATCTGATCCAAAATGCCAGTGAGAGTGCTGGGAGGTTGACAAAGGAAAGTCTAAAGCAGCCTGTGAAGCCAAACCAGAGGGAAACAGAAAAGAGGACTTCAATAAAGATGTTGAAAAACCAGGGGCCAGTCAAGAACAACTTAGAGATCTGATTTTTTGGGAAATGCCAACGGTTGAAAGCCCATGTGGATCTTGACTTATCTCTTTTGTGGCCCTCACTTGCTCCCCGACACCATTATTTGCAGAGCTGGGACGCGTGTGAATGTACCCCGATGGCACAGGACAACGGAGAGATCTTCCCTCACCCCAGCATCCGGGGCCTTTCTTCTTGCCTTTTGTCTATCAAGGATTGTCTCACCTGTGCAGTGGATATTCTGTTCTCCCCAAAACCATTAGACCTGTTCTTACAGCACTGCAGTCTGTCCTGGGCCTCCTGGGCCTAGCACAAGGTGCTCGCTCTGCTACTCCGGGGAGGGTTCTTCAAGACTCTCTAAGCATGTCTGCCAGTGGTGAGAGGTCACCTTCTTTGGAATGGGGGGTGCTGTTCTGAAACACACCCATATTGGAAAAGCATAAGCATCTACCAATTTGTTACCTGAAACAGAGATGGCCTCTAAGCCAGAAAGAGCCCAGTGGTCGATAAAACAGCACCTTCTCTCTGTAAATCCAGCTGCTCCTCTCTTTCTCACGAGACTCTTACTCCCCAGAATTGGAGCATGAGCAAAGAGGTGGCCTTCCTCTGGAAACAGTTTGCTCTATTGCATCATTATCTTGCCCTCTTCCTTTGCACAGACCCAGCTGTGACTGTCTAAAGACATACCAACTATCAACCTAAAATCAATCTGTAACTGCAAAAAGAAATATGAAACTAGGTTTAATATTACTCAAATTGTAAGTTTTGCCAAAGACCAACGTGGCTACCTTCTTATTTATACAGCGTATTTAAGCACCTAGAGGAGGCTATCTAGAAGTCAAGCACAGCAGCTGAGCTGGGATTTGGATCGCCCAAACCCAAATTGAATGGCATCGAATTGCAGAGCTAAATGAAGGGCTTTTTTAGAGAGGAAAAAAAAACATTCATGTGAATGGCAGAGAGCTGACTTTCTGGCTGTGGTTTATTCCATATTGTGCTCCTGACACTCAAGTGTAATAGCCATTCTCACTTACGGAGAGATATTTTTATGAGGCCTGATATATATATATATATAGGGAGAGTGTACTTACCAGCTAATTTCACGCCATGCTCAAACTACAACCAGAAAATGAGTGTTATAGACAAGGATATTTTACATGTGCTAGAGGAGCTTCCCTTTGAGATGAAACCTGAAAGAATTCCCTTCAAAAAAGTAAAGATGGGGCCTCCCTGCTTGTGCAGGGGTTAAAGACAGCACTATCAAGGCATTGGCACCCACATGGCTTGGCACACCTCTCCGGTCTCACTGACTGCGCCCTTCAGCAGTGTATTGCAGTCAATCTGCCTCCTCTGCTCCCCACTCTGGCTCTCATGAACCCTTTTACTTGACACCACCCGCCCCCCACCCCCCACCCACACACACCTCTGGCCTGTTCCCCAGTTCTTGTATGCACACATAAATAATTCTTTTTTTTTTAAATAAAGATACTGTCTTTTTTTATAAAGCCCAAACTTTTGGTAAAGTAGGATTCTGTAACATAGTCCTAAAGGCTTTGTGTGACTTTCTAACATACCAAGTTGTGTTTGCATCGCAAAGTGATGCGGTAGACAAACCACAGGTTTCGGGAGTACAGCGTGTCTAGGTTTATATGCTCCTTCCATTAACCACGAGCCGTGAAACTTTACTAAAGCCACGTGATTCTTCAGAGCTGTATTTTTCCATGCCCAGAGTGGGGCAGGTATTACAGTGTGGGCCACATGTCTTGCACATGGCCTGACCCGTCGGTCACTGTCCTTGTGTTTGTTGACATTATGTATGACCTAAATGTGTGTTCTCAATTTTTATTTATTTTTTGAAGATTTATCCATCTGCGTATTCAAGAACTGCAGTGCAGGCTAGAGATGCTGGGGAGGGGGAGTGGTGGTGAGAGGATTCACCAGAGACAGAGCGGAGAGCAGAACAGGTGTATCTACTGAAATACACTGCTGAGGGGAGCAGAGAGTGGGACAGGAGAAGTCTGCTGAGCCATGTGGCTCACCTCCAGCCGGGGTCAAAATTGTGCTGCAGTGGCTGTGGATAGCTTCATAGTGCTGCTTTACCCCCTGTGCCACCAGGGAGGGCCTGTTCTCAATTTTTAAGTTTTGCTCTACAGAACTTAAATTATGGTAAATGCTCCAAACTTGACTTTGGTATCTTCGTTTCAAATACTGTCAGTGCCAGGCATGAGGCAACACGGCTTGTTGTGTGAAGTGCACATCTGGTGTAACGCACGTTTGTGTTTTAAACTGTAGGAACTGCCCAGGCTATCGAAGGTGGCCACGTGGGGTATAAGCCGCTTGCTGGCATTCGGTTCATGTGGTGGTACCATCTAATTGGCCTCATCTGGACAAGCGAATTCATCCTGGCGTGCCAGCAAATGACTGTAGCTGGGGTGCTCGTCAAGTGTTATTTCAACAGGTAGGTGGAGCGCCGCCTGTTGGTGTGTGTGCTTTATGTTGTATGTCTCAAACGGTCTCTGCAGTCTTCACATGGCCCCTTTAAAGGAGCTGGCAAAAGTAAAGGACTACATAAAAATTGCACTGAATGCTCATTTGGTGGTGTGAAGAAATCTTCTATGTTAAAACCTGGCATAGTTAGAAGCTCTTTTGCTTTGAGCTGGAAAATTCAGAAGGAAGCCAAATAGGGAAGTCATCAGGCTGCTTATAATTTTTTTTAAAGATTTATTTATGCATACAGATCTGGGATGCAGGCCAGAGGTGCAGGGGCAGTGAGAGGATTCACCAGAGACACAGTGGGGAGCAGAACAAGCCGACTGATGAAGTACACTGCAGAGGGGAGCAGCGGGCGGGTCAGGAAAAGTCTGCTGCGCCATGTGGGTCAGTTCCGGGGCGGGGATCGAACTCATGCTGAAGTGGCTTTAGCTTCTTAGTGCTGTGCTTTAACCCGCTGCACCACCAGGGAGGGCCTAGGCTGCTTATAATTTTTAAAAAATTGAAAGGAAGGGTAGGTTTCTCCTGTTTAAACTCCACTCTAAGTGACTTGCCCACTTAGTCTGTTTGGAACACATTTCAATAAGTTCCGTGAACCTTCTTTTATCCTATGTAAAATAGAAGAATGTTTACATAGAAAATAATTATAAATCCTAAGAAAATTATAGATATAATTTGTGTTTACATAGTTAAGTACGAGTGAATTAATTACCTGTTTTTATGTTCACCATGAGACACTTAAGGGTTTATACCCCATTACCTAACCAGAATAACTGAGGACACACAGCCCTTTAGCTCTTTTGTGTGTGTGACTCTGTGGGGCAATGATAACACCGCAGGCAAGAAGAGTGGAGCCAGGACAATGATAGTGTTGGACTCAAAACAGGAAGTTTACTCCCTGATAGGGCTGATCCTCCTCTAATTTCTCAGACCAAATGAATAGATAAGCAGGCAAGTACATAGGGGTAAGAAAGTCAACCAGAATGACTCATGCTGTTGAGCAGTAACCCCCCTGAAGATAAAGAGTACTTGGAGATTAACTTAATGATGCCATTTGGAATCCTCCATCATTACCAACCCAGAGAGGCACATCGGGTTGTAACCCTTGGCGTTAAGAACCACCAAGCAGCTGGAAGTGGGTAGCGTGTGCTGCTTGCTCCTGAGTAGGGGGCAAGATTGTTCTAACCAAACTGGCCCTGCAGATACCAGCTGTTGGACAGAAGTTATTTTGTATATTCTTAGAGTCACAAAACCAAGCATTGTCAATGAGAGCGTTTTTGGTTGTACTGGTGAAACATGCATTTATCTCTTAACCACCTCCCCACTCCAAAGCCCCCAAAATGATATGAATAAAAGGTACAAGGGCAGCATGAAACAGAGGCAATGACCAAAAATAAGAAATGTCAACCAAGTATTGAAAATTGATGAGCGGATGTATGAGGAGAGACTCTCATCAGACTGGAGAAAACAAAAAAGTCTGTGTTGGGTGAGACGGGAGAGTGAAAATAATATGCAGACTGAGATGAGCCACAAAAACCTAGAGAGGTTCAGGAACCCTTGTGTACAATCTCCCTAGGGAGCAGTTAGGCAAAAAAAATCCCCCTCCACACCATCAGAAGATGAGACTTTGCCCTCTAGAAAGTGTGTATGTGTGATATCTGACAACAGCTGAGGCTGGGTATTGGGATTGGCTCTATAGTGAAAGAAGGAAGAATAAGTAAATGTCTAAATTCTGAAAATGAGGACTCACTACCATCCCATAGGTTAGTGCCCAGGATAATGAGCACTTAGTATCATGGTGCCCACTGCCATGACACCCCAGGCAGAGGTAAGAGAAGTCTTCTTTGGAGAAATTGTTGAGCCTAAAGTGAAGTATAGATAGCGCCACCTGGAAGACTCCTACTGCAATGACTTGATTCTCTGACTCAGCATCAGAGGGGAGCATTCACCAGTCAACAGTGTGAGAACAGCCTTATTGTGATTGTGCCTCACCCTTATTTGTGACTGGATAGCCAACAATAATTAAACATTATATTTCCTTTCCTGTGTAAATTTTGGGTTGTACTGAAGGTAAATAAAAGAAAAATCCTATAATGAAAGTAAAAGAAAAACATCAAATATGAAGAACTCTTCCAGGAGGGAGAGCAAAGAGAAAATGAGAAGAGAAAGAGGGGAAAGTTCAAAACCTGGGAGAACCAACATATGACTAATACAAATTCCAGGAGTAAAGAATAAAGAAAATAGAAGGAATTTTAAGTGAAAACTTCCCATAGCTGAAGGACATGAAGAAAGAGAAAAAGCCAGAAATTTCTAGAGAGGAAAATATACCATAGTCAAAGAATCAAGAGCTGGAAAGGATCTGACTTTCAACAGGAACTCTGAACCTGGAAGACAATGGAACAAGGCTTTCAAAATTCCAACCTGGAATTCTGTATCTTTTCATACTGTTAGTCAAAGATAAAGAACAGTAAGTCATGTCCAGACATACAACAGTCTAAAAGACTTCCTAACCACATTCTTTCTGATAAGGATGTTCTATACTGAAATGAATGAATAAGCCAAGGAGTAAAACATGAGTTTCAGGAAGTGAGCTCCAGCACAGAAAAGAAGGGACTTCCCAGGAAGAGAGCTGTCCAGCAGGTATAGAAAATACCAGTCCAAGGTGGAGTAGGAGACAGTGGGCTCAGGAGGGATTCCTCCAAGGGAAAAAAAAAGAAACTAAGAGAATATCAGATTTAGAGAAAGATTCACACTTTGTTGAAGCATCTGGTGAAGCTAATGGAAATACAAGCAAATAATAATGTGAAACAATTATTAACTTCGATAAACAAAAGTTGTGCAGGAAAAGAAATATAATCAGAACAACCACTTGTGTCTCTTGTGAATATCATTCATGTACAAATGCTAAATATTATCTAAAATATATCCAGTGGTGAAAGGTGAAACAAAAGGCATCCATATTGAAAAGGAAAAAGTAAGATTGTATTTGTTTGCTGGTATGTGGTATATGTGCTCCTCCATACCCCACTAAGACATTTGTAAGCACTAATCAGTAAGTCCAGTAAAGATACACCATACAAAATCAACATACAGAAAACAATTGTGTTTTTGTAAATGAACAATGAAATAGCTGAAAAAGATATAAAAACAACAATCCTGTTCACAGGAGCATAAAAACAAATTTAATCAAGAAGGAGAAATATCTACATAAAAATTGTATGATTGATGACAGGAATTAAAGAAGACTAAGAAAATGGAAAGATTTTCTGTGTTCATGGATCAGAAGATGTAATGCGAAATCATCTGTACATTTAATGAATCCCTATCAAAAATCCAGTGGTCTTTATCAGAGAAATAGGGGGAAATTCTTGAATTTATATGGAATTAAAAATTCCTTGAATAGCCAAAGAAATCTTGAAAAAGGAGAATAAAACTGGAGGTAGTAAACTTTCTGATTTCATACTACATTACAAAATTATAGCAATCAAAATGGTATGGTACTGACATAAAAATAGATACACAGATAAACAGACCACTGCCAGGAAACAACAATTAAATCTTCAAATATAAGAAGGGAAAGCATATCCTCTTCCATAAATAGCTCAAAGAAAACTAGGTAATCACATATACAAGAATACTATTATATCCTTATTTTATACAGTTCCCAAAAATAAATTCAAAGATAAAAGATTTAAACATAAGAGCTGAAACTGCAAGACTCCTAGAATAAAACATAAGGAGGGCTCTCCCTGGTGCGGCGGCAGTTTAAAGCACAGCATTGTGTAGCTCTGGCAGCCACTGCAGCATGAATTCTATCCCCAGGCAGGGAGTGACCCACATAGTACAGCAGACCTCTCCTGACCTGCCCACTGCGCCCCTCAACAGTGTACTTCATCAGTTTGCCTGTTCTGGTCCCCACTCAGTCTCTGGTGAATCTTCTCACCCCCCAACACCTCTGGCCTGTACCCCAGTTCTATATGTATAAATAAATTTAAAAATAAATAAATAGAACATAAGGGGAAATATTCCTTGGCATTGGCCTTGCAGATTTTTTTTTAATAAACACAAATTATAAGTAACAGTACATCAACTGAAATGACCAGTGAAAAAAGGCAAACCTACAGACTGGAAGAAAAATATTTGAAAATCAGATATCTGATAAGTAATTAATTTCCAAAATATATAAAGGACTCATGTAACTAAAAAAAATCGAATTGAATATGGGCAGGGGATCTGACAGACATTTTCCCAAAAACATAGAAGGACCAAAAGGGTATAAAAAACAGAGTTTAGTATCACCAATCATCAGAGGAATGCAAGTCAGAACCACAATGAGATACGAGAAATGCAAGTCAGAGCCACAATGAGATTCCACCTTACCCTTGTCTATAAAAATAAAGACAAGAGGTAATAGCAAGTGTTGGTGAGGATGTAGGGAAAAGGGAACCCCGTGCAAAATGAAGACTGGCAAGTCACTAAGATAACAGTGTAGCAGTATGGAGCTTCATGGAAAAATTATAACTAGAATTCCCCAAAATAAAATATTAATAAAAAAACAAGAACTACCATATGATCCAGCAATTCCACTTTTGGGTCTAAGTCCAAAGGAAATGAAAACAAGATTTTGAAGAGAAATCTGCATTCCATGTTCATTGTAGCATTAATCACAATCACCAAGATATGAAGGCAGCCTAAGTGTTAACAGATGAGCGGAGAAAGATGTGATGCACACACCCATACACACACCCACACACACACACAGGAAGACTATTCAGCCATGAGGAAGAAGGAAATCCTGCCGTTTGTGACAGCATGATAGAGCTTGACGGATCATGCTAAATGAAATAAGTCAGGCAGAGAAAGACAAATACTGTGGGATATCATTTATATGTGGAATCTAAAAAGCTGAACTCACAGAAATACAGGAAACAGAGGTAGTTACCAGGGACTAAGGCTTGGGGGAAGTGGGAAATGTTTATTAAAGGATGCAAACTTCCAGTTAGAAGGTAAGTCCCAGGATCTAAAGCACATCATGGTGGTTATAACTCTTTAGACAGAATGACACACTTGAAAGTTGCTAAGACAGTAGATCTTAAATGGTCTCATCACAGAAAAGAAATGGTAACTATCTGACCATTCATAATATCTGGCTGATGTTCACTTTGCATTGTATAAGTGTATCAAATCAACATGGTGTACACCTTAAGCTTACATAATATTGGATGTCAATTATATCTCAGTGTGTTGGGGAGTTTAGACCATAAGAGAATTAAGCCTGTCTCTTCCATGATGGGAAGTCAGTTGATAATAGCTGAGGCTGAAAAAAGCCAAGAAATAGTAGTACAGGCATATGTGGAGGAAAATGTTATCTCTAGGGAGAGAAAATGAGGGTGGGAGAAGAAAATTGCTCTTTTTCTTTTGAAGCTTGGTAGTATTATTTGACCTTTTAAGGTATTTCCCTTATTACTTGATAAAAATAAACTAATTTAAAATAAAGTGCATACTGATATATTTTTAGCACTAGTCTTTCATTTATTAAAGGGTTCTGCTTTATTTTTGATCTTGTGCCTAATTTTGAAACCTCAAGGTTTTTATCTACACGGTCACAATTCTTTAATCTCATGTTCTAGCCTGCTCCCAGGATGAGGATTAAGTACATAAATAGCAGAGTGTGTTCATCTTTGTCATTCATTTAAGCACTCAGAGAGCTAAAGCTGTCAAGTACCAGGATGTGGGCAACCTGTCAAATATCCCTTTTACAACCACCTGTTGGAGAAGGGATGAACTCAGAGCCTAAAGATGTGATTAGGGAGGTGATCGGAAGGAGCTAGAACTATCTGACTCGGTGAAGGGACGCTTGAGGCATGACTTCATCATCATTTTCAAATTTGCAAAAGATGGTTTCCAGCTGTTCTGGATTCACGGAGGAAGGAGAAGGAAATGGATTTACAGCAGAGCCTAAGGAATGTAGGAAGGAGACATGAATTCCCTAACTCCAGCGAGAGCTGCCGAACACAGCTAAAAAATATCCTGCTCTTCCCAATAAAGGCAATTTCCATTTTCTCTAGGGTTGGAAAGATGAACCTGGTAGTTTCCTCACATTCCTCCCACCCCACCTTGTGATTTTGCTGAAAGAAATATCAAGAACGGACATGGTCTTCGTGGGACCATATGGTACTTCTCTTCTTGGGGCCAGATTTACATGGCAGACCATCCATCCTGTGCAGCCCAGACATCATCAAGGAGCCTCAACACAAAAATAATTTTTCAATTATTGAAAGTCTTCTTCATGGCCACTGGGTTGGATGTAACTAGAAATAAAACTTGTTCCTAGGACCCTGAAGTTTCTGATTTGACCGTATCTCTGTTGTCCAAGAGATTAGTAGCTGCAAAACAGCTAATGTTCTGTGATTCCCAAGGCGTTGTAAGACTTGAATAGATGAGGCCACCAGATCCTTTGCACAGAAGCTTGTTGATGTTCTGGGCCTTGGTCCCTTGCACAGGTCCGAGCACCTGGGTGCAGAGGACTGCCTTGGGTTTCAAAGACTGGACATTAGGCTCGTGGGCACCTCTGGAGACAAGGTCGCTTCCATTGGCCAGTCCTCCTCACTGCCACCACCCACAGAACTGGCTGTGCAGTGCTCAGCACCTGCTCACTCTTGAAAGACAAGCCAGGCTAAGCAGAGGCCCTAGCCTCCTCGGACTCTCATTTCTGGATTGTCCAATCCACCTGATGTTGCCTTGCCTCCCTTACTGATCATACTGTGGCTCAGCTGAGAGCTATGAGTTACTTGAAACCCCTCCAAGTGTAATCAGTCATCTTCCCAGAGGCAGGTTTTGCTGGTTGTGAGGGAGACAGAGCTGAAGGTCCTAACCGAATACACAGCAAGGACAGGAAGACAGGTTGCTGTTTCCTTTGAAATTGGAAAGTGGTCTAAGAGAAGATAGGAGTCTCGCAAACATTACTTGACCTTGTTCTGTGAGGGTGGTGTCTACGTCTCAGGGCACCTATTGAGTGAGGCCTGGCTCTGTGAGCTGGTCTCTGTCATCAAGCAATATCACAGCTTCTGGAACTTCTGATCTTATTTCAGCTCAGCCTCGAGTGATGGGCGAGTGATGGGCTGACTGAAATAGTTAATCTCATCACTGTGAAAGCTGCTCAGAGAGCTGCTATCTGACCCCAGACTCCTGTACCTGGAGGACCAGGCCCCAAGACCCCCAATCTCTGTGGCCAGGGAATCATCTGTTTCCCTAACAGATGGAAAGCAGGTGTTGTTCTCATCTCCCTGCACCTCCCCTTGAGCACCGTAGTAAGTTCTAAGGCACATAAATCTCCTAAGTGGAAAAGTAAACATGCTTCTTCTAAAAAAAAACCGAGGAAAGGGAAAAACTGTGTCAGATTTTCCTGGCCTATGCCCCTCTCGCAGTTCATGAGATTAAAATGAATTCATATCAGCGATAGCTTTCCTGGTGTTTCCTACTTTCAATAATATTGAGTTGAGACATATATAGCCCTTCTGTGCGACAATTGGATTGCAGTTATTCTGCTCCCAATATTATTATTATGTTCTCTTTTCCTTCCTGAATGATTTAAGTTACAGCAAATAACAGCCATTGCCAACTCTTGAAAACATTTCTGGCGGCCTTCTTTTTCCTGCTTCAAAATCTAGGCTCTCGTTGCAACCTTAATTCATAGTGACTTATTAGCAACCAGAGCAAGTTGTCAAATAATCCATTATGAAGAAACCAAGCTTCACTTGGATTTAGTGAAGTTGCTTCTCGGAAAGGGCCTCCTTTTCCAAAACTGGCACCGGAGGGAATTCAGAGGCTCAGCAAAGGGGGGGTGTATCAGCCTTCCCTGTTTTAGCTTTCAGATTTGGAGTGGGGGGGGATGGCTGTGCCCTTCTGCTCTTTTTCACTTTTTTCCCAGTCTGTGAAAATGACATTTGCATTCTTGGAAACTGTGTCATGACCAGTCCCGTAAATGATTCGCACTGAAGTGACCTTTAAAGAACAGAATTGAAATCAGCTGAATTTCAGGAGCCTAGCGCCATGCAGAAGGCTTTCTGGCCTTCTCTTTAAGCTGAGCTCACTGTTACCTCTCTGGCTGCCAGTCATGGTCATGTGATTTCATGGTGCTTTTCATCACCAAGCTAATGCTGGCAACACTTCTGTGCACTCATGTGTCTTTTAAACCTCAGAGATGATTATATGATTAAACTTCCGAAAATGAAAATGAGATGAATAGGCCACTTACAGGACTTGTGGAGGGAGGAGAGATAATAAAGAGGGGAACTCGTGTATTTTAACTCATCACCTATTCTGTTTGGAGCCAACAGGAATTACCTTAGTCCAAAAAACGAAGCTAGATCTCAGCTACCAAAGAATATAAAACTCTTTATAATGTGTCAATATTATTTTTTAAATATATGTAATAGTTTATTTTTACATCATTTTGTACATTTTTGTTAATATTATTTAATGGTTTGAACCAAACAGGTTTTTGCTCCTCTCTAAAGTGTTTTAATACTGTCTTTTTTCCCTGTTCCCAGAAATAAAAGTGACCCTCCTGATCGCCCAATCCTTTCATCTCTCTCCATTCTTATTTGCTACCATCAAGGAACAGTCGTAAAAGGCTCATTTTTAATCACTGTGACTAGGATTCCAAGGACCATTCTCATGTATATTTATAACAGCTTGAAAGAGAAGGTAAGACAGCAACTCCACTGATGGGGCAGATGGGTTTGAAGGCTGAAAAGTTAGTGCCTGGACGCTGCACCAAGTCTCAGGATAGAATCTGACCTGTGATCTTGTCCATTCAAAATGCTTCGGGCCTTCCCCTCCCCAGCCACACTCCCCCCCCCCACCATTTTATTTTATTTATGGTTTTGTTTGTTGGGTTTTCTCCAACATGGTGGTATAGAGAGGGGGTAGTTCTGAGTAAGTTGGTTTTCCTTCTGGTTTAAATGCTGAACAAAAGAGAGGAATTTTTTTGTGTGGGGAGGAGGGAGAGTCTTAAGATGAAGTTTTAAACAAACTTTGGTGGACACTTAACATGCTTTTGTTTTTTTTTAACATTAAAATACACCACAAGATTACAAGGAATAGTATCTGTGTGTTTCTGTTTTCAGGCCAACATCTTCTCTGCCGTTGGTTTCCTAGAGGGTTTACTGGAAGTTACTGGTGGGCATGAAGGAGTACAGGAGAGAGTTTGAGAGTGGGGTGTGCGCTCCAGCACACACACACACACTTAAGAGTGAGAAATGGGCAAGCTGACCTAAATCTCAGCTCAAAGGACAGAAACTGTAGGGCTTTTGTGCCTGGGGGTTTTCTCCTCCCTGGTTTTTATTTCCATGCACATTTGGGTATGAATGCCAGTGGAAACCAGAACACCAGGAAAACAGCTGTTCTCATGGTATTTCTGGCCTGCCAAACAAGGGAAGGTTGGACTTTCCCCAACTTCTCTGTTCTCACACGTTAATCTCCTCTCACCCCTTGTTAGTACTGGTGATTGAACCGACTTCACATACTTACCTGAGTCCAGCCTTTTGAGTATACTGGGTGTCCTTAGTAATTTACACATGGATTCATAATTATTTCTAGAATTGGTTTTGTTTGCTTTTACATAGAAAGTTGAATCGTCAATATTTTTTAAGTCCATAATCAAGATTTATCACTTAAGAACATTTTGGTGACTAAAAGAGGCATTTCTATACCAAATCTAGCTGCTCTGAATCCTGCATAATGAATTGATCTTTCAATCATGGGAAACTTGGAGTAAGGATTCTTATTCATGCGTACGATTCTTATTCATGCATACGTGTATTAGTAACAGATACACATAAATTAATGAGCAGGAGGGAGCTTGTTTTCTTTCCTAGGGCTGGGCATCTTAAACTCTTAGAGGAAATCACCTTCCATAAATTTAAAAGAGGAGCAGGCGCGTTGGTCTCTCTGGCCGAGGTTTATAAAAGGTTATTTTCACTCCCCAGGTCCCAGAATGCCAAGGAGCCTATGTCCCTTTCGTGAAGAAACTGTTGAAGAAATGTGTCCTTTCTTAAAGAAAAAAAAAAAAGAAAAGACAGTCTTACAACCAGTACTGTCTACAATTTAAACATTTCACACACTCTCTGTGTGATCTTTCCTACTTTAAATGGCTCATTCACAACCGCAGTCAGGCTGAAAAGCATCCAGATCAAGTTTCATCCAATTGAATTAACATTGGGACAAGAAAATGCCCATATAAGGCTGAGTTATTCCTGGGGTCCTCACAGAAGACTATTTCAGGATTGTTTTCAGGGAATTTTTTTTTATTCTCGTCATTGGGTAGGATGTGTTTGTTCAATCACCCTTCCCCCAAAGTTTCATTAAATTACTCACTCTTGAGCTATATATGATTCAAGTCATATTTCAAAAGACTGATCCCCCCCCCCCGCCTTGTAATTTCGTGCTGAAATTCTCACTATAGGATTTACTTCCAAAAATGTTAAACTTGATTCCTCTTTTATGTGAGCACAACAAGAATCTACGGTCCATTCTTGATTGTCTTAGTAATGTGAGTTTTTCATTAATATAAAACTTGGTTTGAAAGTGTGAAGTTTACAATTGAAGACACTTAGGGGAGATGAAGAGACGAGTTTACCTTTGCTGGGAAGTGTGGACTAACCCATGTCAGTTTCTACTGAGGTCAATAGCAATCATAACAGGTAAACCCACAAAAGAGAACTTTGCTCATAGTAACAATAGTGGGAGTAGTAGTAATAATAATTAATTAATAGAACGTCCCCTATACTCCATGAGAACTGCTTCCCCAAGCGCTGAAGTCTCCCAGCAGAAGCTGTGTGTCTACAGAAATTGTTTGCTTACCTCTTTGCTATATTTTGTCTAATCTGTGCCTTTGACTTTGAATCTCATCCCAGCAGCATCGTGCATGGTTGAGGTGTGTGTTCAGATCCTGCTTCTGTCTTGACAAATGCCTGCATCATCTCAACCAGGTACATCTCTACCTCTTGTCCCAGAACTTGGAGAGGGAACCAAAGCTGGGGGAAGCTCTATCTTTTGGTTACGAATTGGCTGCTTTTGCTGTAAAAGGCCAGAATGTGTGAATATTTTAGACTTTTGGGCCATCTGGTCTTGGTTGTATTACTCTGCTGTGGTGGTAGCAAAGCAGCCACAAATTGTGAATGAATGCACATGACTATGTTCTGGTACAAATTTACTTACAGACAGTGAAGAAATAGTCTTCTTTTTCAAGAAGATTATATGTCAAGAAATAGTCTTCTTTTGACTTTTTTCAGCTACAGTCATCTATACCCAAGGGAGATATGTTCCAAGACCCCCAGTGGGGGTGTCTGAAACCGTGCCTAGTGACAAGCCCTACATAGAGTATATTATGCCTTTTCTATGTGTATGTATCTATGATAAAGTTCAATTTATAAATAAGCACAGTAAGACATCAACAACAATAACTATGAAGAAAATAGAACAATCCCAACAATACCACCTAATAAAAATTATATGAATCTCTTTCAGTATCTTACTCTCTCAGTATCTTACTCAATATTTCCAGTGGTGGTTGACCACAGGTAACTAAAGCTGTGGAAAGTGAAACCATGGGGGAGGGGGTACAACTGTATTTTTTTAATGTGAAAATTATGCTGGGTTCCGGCAGAGAGCAGATTGCCTGAGGGACCTAGTTCCTGGGCAGCATTTTACAGATCTTACCTCAGAAACTGAGTCAGTAAAGCCACACTTTAAATTCTGAAAGAAATGTGTTTTTCTTTTGGAAACAAAAAGGGGAGGAGGCTTTAGAAACCCTAGTGTAATGAATATCTGTCAGCAGAGAGCCAATTTCCAATGTCTTCTCTAAGAACTATAATTTTCCTGAAATGGGAAAAGAATCGCCTCCCTAATTTTCTTTTGCCTCTCTAATTTTAATATATTTCTCCCGACTTTCCCTATCAAGCTATAAATATTTCTTTAAAAAAGAAAAAATTATATACTGCAATTGTGTGAATTTCAGATTTCTTTCCTAGATCTTTCAAATTGATGGGAATTTAAATATATGTTTTATTTTCCTGTAGATAATTTAGGAAATTTTAATAGCACTGAGAGAAATTTTCACAAAGCAGTATTTTTGTAATTCACAGGCTGTTTCACAATTTAAATGTCCACAGAAATTTCATTTGGAAAAGTACTTCTTATTAGTGCCAACACCATAGTGTGCCGTTTACAGGAAAGGGGTTAATTAGATCATTGTGTTTAATATCTTATAAGTAATAATAAGAATACCTTTCATTGTTCAGGGGCAGGAGTGGCCTTTTCGGAGTAAAGCTCTATTTTTAGGGCTTTTAAGAATCTGGGAGTACATCTTAGAGTATAGTTAGGATCATTTGGCTGACTTGAGCCAGTGTGTATAAAACATAACGAAATGCCTTGGTACCTTCCAGAATAGTGGTCATACAGCACGTCCAGCCAAACCCTCTGAATATCTCATCTTGATGTAGATGCCGGCCCTGCTCTTCCTAGATCTGTTATGCTCATATCCAGATACCAACTTATTCCACAAAGGTTCTGAGATGCTTCACCAACATGCCCTATGATAAAATTCAAGATGTAAAAATCAAGGCAAAGAAATGTAGAGTAGGAAGTCAGGCACTGGGACTTTTGCTATCCGGTTCCATCCCATCTGGCTGTCGTGTACAACGTCAGGTCTTTCGTTCCTTGTGTTCAGAGTGCTCCATCAAAGCCTGTGGGCTCCCTATGGGTGGTGGAGATCAGCAAAAGTGGGTTAGGAGGATGAAGGTGGGCGGTGACTCCAGACCACAACCGCCCTACTGTGCCCTAACCAGAGGCACTCAACTTTTGCTTGACTAGGTCTGGGACCCCACTGAAGGTACATGTGAAGACGGCACTCTGCTGCTAAAACACACTTGCAGACCACCATCTTGTATTGTTTTTCTCTGCCTATGATCCCGAGGGACTTATTTTCTGCATTCTGTAATGTAACCACCTGAGAGTAGCCCAGTGCCGTTCCTTTTGGAAATGCAAAATGTCTCCAAGCACATATGTAGTATTAGCATTGACCACGCTCTATCATTACAAAGGTGAGGGATCCTTATAAAGGAATTACAGTGGGTGTGATTGTCACAAAAAGGCCAAATCTGCCCTATTTGTAGCGAATCACTGGTGGAAACAGGGACCGCCCAAATCCTAGTATTGGTGCCTGTGTGCCAGGCCATGCCCCAGCCACCATCAGAGCCTTTTTACCTACTGGTGACAGCCACGGGACGGGACACGCTGCCAACATGGGCCATGCTGGGAGGCTTGATGTCTAAGAGACTGAGATGGACGAAGAGGGAAAATGGAAAAGAAAGAAAAATAGTTAATGTGAAGATTGATGAGGCGGGAAAGGTCACTTCTGGTCTAAATCTACTACTAGAAAGTCTACTACTTTAAGAATACAAATGACTCTTGTGTAACAATGGTCAGAACCATTGTGGATCTCGTTTGGCAGTGGACAAAGGAAAGTCAGCTTCATGTGAGAGAAGGAATTTAGATTAGCCTTTTGAAAAATCCCTGGCACTGGAATGCGTTACTAGGAGAAGATTGTGGAAATCCCATTTAGAGGAGCTGAGGCTTCTTTTATTTTCTCTGCTTTGTGCAATAGGAGCTGGGAAATGCTGAAAGAGAAGGAGATCTATTTGTTGCCATCAGAACCCAGATGCTCTTCTTAACTTAACATCAAGGAGCTGGTTGTGTTTCATCATTACTTTTTAAAAGCATAATCCATCTTCATAGTTCTGGGAGGGAAGAGGGGACAGCTGCTGCATTTTATAGACTCTCAACCAAAGGCTGCAGAGAAGTTCACTTGCAGAGTAAAGGATAAGACCTCTACCTATCATTTCTCCTTTACCTGTCTCTCTACAACGTACACACCACATGCTTGTATTCCTGAAAAAAAACGTATGTGTGGGGGCCACACATTTATTTCTCCAAATATTCTCTATGTGCTTTTGCTATGTGCAGACCACTTGGAGCTGGGCATCGGGAAAACCAGACCATGGGGTACAGAATCAATATAAAGCAAAGCCAGGTCTTCAGGGAGCTGACAAGTCAGCTTGGGAATGTGAGAATGAGGCATTTGCACAAGACATTTATGTATCAGTCCAGTGTGTGTTTAAAAGTGTATCTTAGGCCCTCCCTGGTGGCGCAGCGGGTTAAAGCCCAGCGCTGAGAATCTAAAGCCGCTTCCGCATGAGTTCGATTCTTGCCTGCCCCAGAGGTGACCATATGGCGAGGCAGACCTCTCCTGACCCGCCCGCTGCTCCCCTCAGCAGTGTACTTCGTCGATCTGCCTGTTCTGCTCCCCACTCTGTCTCTGGTGAAGCCTCTTGCCACCCCTGAGCCTCTGGCCTGTACCCCAGTTCTGTATGCACAAATAAATAAATCTTAAAAAAAAAAAATGTAGGCTTAAAGGGAAGACATTGGAAATTCAGGGAAGGGGAATATTGGTGATAGGGAAGGTAGCTCAACTTGGTGACTAGGAGGCATTTCATAGAAGAGATTGGATTTCACAGGCCTGAGTACAGAGACCCACTGGCTGGCCAGTCACTGGCAGCAATAGCAGTGAGCTGCTGACTTTGTAATACTGGGGTGTGCTCAGCACTTTTCCTGTATTACATCAGCTGTTAGTTTTCACCCCAGCCCTTTAAGATCCTATCCCCAACTTACAGATGAGGAAACTGAGAGGCTACAAAGTCAGTGACAGGCCTAGATTTGAATTTAAGTCTGTTTTGACTGTAAGACGCCAACCCTTAACCATTACATGCATTTTTAAACAGCCAGAGAAAGTCATCTCCCCTTTCTGGAATGGCTTTCTTTGGCAATTGTCCAAGTCAAGACCCAGACAAGTCAATGAGCAAGCCTTGTTACGAGCAGACTTCTGTGGAGGAGGACAGAAAAGATGTGGTGACCTGGAAGGGGGCAAGAGATGAATCAGCAGTTGTAGAACCAGTAAAGACTTGTCCTTTGTACCTCCTCCCTTCAGGAAAGTCAGTGTCAAAACTTAGGAGGCTGGACTTGAATTTCTCACAGCTTTTCGGGCAAGCAGATTAGCAGCCTTTCCTGCTGCTGCACTTTGTAGGGACCTGGCTGAGATGTCCCCCATGGGACTCTGCATGTGAGCCGAGCAGCAGGAGTGGCACACGCCTCTTGTGGGTCCTTGTGGTGTCCACAGGCAGCACGGCATGAACATGTCTCCTAACCACGCATCTCTTATCCACTACAGACACACACCTCTGTCCCAGCGCTGGTCAGCACCAGGTTAGCGCCCAGGTTCCTGTCAGTGAAATCCACTGGTGGCCACAGGACTCTGACTGACAGTTCCAGATAGACCTGAACATTTCCCAATGGCCTTTCTTCATTTCTTAAAGGCAAAATTCCATGGGTTTTTGTTTTCACATACAATCCAGGGCTGTTTATCAATCATAGTTCATAGTGTGGAACTAAAACTGGTGAAAGTGTGTCATTAATGAACCAAAATTGGTGTTTTACTTAGTTTCCTGAGGACACAAATTCAGAGTGGCTCCCAGGCCTTGACTGTGCCCGGGCGAGAGTTGGAATTTGCAAACTGGGAAAAGATCACTTTGCAATGAGTTTATCTCCAGCGCCCTTGGGTTGGCTGTGTGGTTCAACTGGAGTTATTTTTTTTTAAGATTCATTTTTATTTATTTATGCATGCAAGAACTGGGGTATAGGCCAGAGGTGCAGAGGGCAAGAGAATTCACCAGAGTCAGAGTGGGGAGCAGAACAGGCAGAGCTACTGAAATACACTGCTGAGAGGAGCAGAGAGTGGGACAGGAGATGTCTGCTGCACCATTTCAGCTCTCCTGCCATGGGGATCAAGTTCATGCTCCAGTGACTGGCGAGAGCTTGATAGTGCTGAGATTTTAACCCCTGTGCCACCAGGGAGGCCCCAATTGCAGTTTTTTTT